GTTCTGTACGCCATCTTCCATGCCGAGCTTTGTTGTCCGTAGACGTCCTCCTGATTAAATCACCAGCATGTCCTTATGGGCACCTTTTATTACCTCCCCACTTAAAGCGGTACCTATTTCTCTACTCACATTGCTGTTTTCAATCTGCTATACAAGCATAAACTAGGCTGATGGCCGGGAGCTCACCCCAGCCCGGGCTTGAACTTTCAATTGGCAAGATTTTCTGCAGCTGGTGGTTTAATTTGCTGTGCTAAAGCCCGTTCTTCATAGAATCATCGAATCAAAGAGTTGGAAGAGACCTCATGGGCCATCTAGTCCAACCCCATTCTGCCAAGAATATTGCATTCAAATAACCCCTGACAGATGGCCATCCAGCCTCTGTTTAAAAGCTTCCAAAGAAGGAGCCTCCACCACATTCCGGGGCATAAAATCCAAAATGTAAATATGCAGCACAACAATATAAAATCAAAACATTAAACCACTAAAAATGAACACAATGGGCAGGGCCAGTTCAAAGATTAAAATACCAAAAGTACCAAAAGGGTTACGAATCAATTTTTGGTCAACTTATTCGGTTTGGTGATTTAGGGAGCTGATTCAGAAAATTGCATTGGATAGACCACATCAGCTCTAGTTTCTGATACAGAACATTTGCCATCCAGTAGTGCTTGCCCACAGAAAACCTTATTTAATAATCTAGAGCCATGGACCTTATTTTAGATCTTATGGCCCACCAGTGGGCCACGGCCCACAGGTTGGGAACCACTGCCTTAGGGACAGAAGAAGAGGGATATAAATACATATATTAATTTTAATAATAGTACATAGTGTATAATAATATTAGCATTTCAAATCAGGCAGGGAAAGTTCCAGTTCACCATCTGCCGTTCCTCTGAGGCTGGATGGCCATCTGTTGGGAGGATTTTTATGATGCCTTCCTTTATAGCAGAATGAGGTTGAGCTGGATGGCCTTTGGGGATTTCTTCCAACTCTAGGATTCTATTATTATTATTATTATTATTATTATTATTATTATTATTATTATTATATTGTCGAAGGCTTTCATGGCCGGAATCACTGGGTTGTTGTAGGTTTTTTCGGGCTATATGGCTATGTTCTAGAAGCATTCTCTCCTGATGCTTCGCCTGCATCTGTGGCAAGCATCCTCAGAGGTACCTCACTACAACAAAGGATGCTTACCATAGATGCAGGCGAAAATCAGGAGAGAATGCCTCTTTACATTTAGTGGCCAGAAATAATAACAATACAATTATTATTATTATTATTTTACTGACACAAAAACACAGTATGTCACAGCAAACGAGATCTCTATGCTGGATTTCGTATCACAAAATCACAAGTCGAACACTTCCGCATCTAGGACTGTGTGATATTTTCGAATGATGCGCGCAGATCCAAGTAAGATGGCCTTTTGCAGTTGACAGATCATGATTTTGTCAATGTTTATTGTTTCCAAATGCCGACAGATCTTTTGGCATGGCACCCAGTGTGCCGATGACCACTGGGACCACTTGTACTGGTTTATGCCAGAGCCTTTGCAGTTCGATTTTGAGGTCTTGATAACAGCTGAGTTTTTCCTGTTGCCTGGTATGGCGACATCAATAATCCAGACTTTTTTCTTTTCCACAATCGTGATGTCTGGTGTATTGTGTTCCAAAACTTTGTCAGTCTGGATTCGAAAGTCCCACAGTATTTTTGCATGTTCATTTTCCACGACCTTTGCGGGTTTATGATCCCACCAATTCTTTACTGCTGGTAGGTGGTACTTGTGACATAAGTTCCAGTGAATCATCTGGGCCACAGAGTTGTGTCTTTGTTTGTAGTCCGTCTGTGTGATTTTCTTGCAACAGCTGAGGATATGATCCATGGTTTCATCAGCTTCCTTGCACAGTCTGCATTTTGTGCTTTTCTTGTCTGGCAGAAAGATGTGGGGGTTGGGCTGGTTGGTCCCTGAGGATCCTTTCTAACTAAGATATTGCTTTTATTGTTTATTTATTTATTTATTATTTGAACTTATATGCCGCCACTCCCCTGGGGCTCGGAGCGGCTTACAAGAACAGGCTAAAATCGAACACAATTTAAAACAATTTAAAAACAATCAGAGATCAAAGGCCCGTCGAAATAGATATGTCTTACATGCCCTGCGGATAGCTGATAAATCCCGCAAGGCACGGACTTCAGGTGGCAGAGTATTCCAGAGTGATGGTGCCACTGCTGTAAAGGCTCTGCGTCTGGTTGCTGTTAGACGCAAGGTCTTGACACTGGGAATTTCCAATAGATCTTGGTCCTCAGAACGGAGGGATCTCTGGGGTTGGTAGGGGGTGAGGCGGTCCCTCAGGTACATCGGCCCCAGACCATGCAAGGCCTTAAAGGTGAGTACCATCACTTTGAAAGTGATCCGGTGCTCAATTGGTAACCAGTGCAGCTGCAGTAAGATTGGTGTTATGTGGCATCTCATCGGAGTTCCCGCAAGAAGCCGAGCAGCTGCGTTTTGTACCAACTTGAGCTTCCGGATCACCGACAGAGGAAGGCCAATGTAGAGGGCGTTACAGTAGTCCAGTCTTGAGATGACCGTGGCCTGGATCACCGTAGCTAGGTCGTCCCTGGACAGGGAGGGGGCCAGCCGTCTAGCCTGCCGCAGATGAAAGAAGGCGGTTCTGCTCACGGCGGAGACCTGGGCCTCCATCGTCAGCAGAGGGTCCAAAAGGACTCCCAGACTCTTTACCAATGATGACGGGCGTAGTGCCTCGCCATCCAGGGTAGGCAGCTGGATATCCCCACTGCCCGGTTGACCCAGCCATAGGATCTCCGTCTTTGCTGGATTCACCCTCAACCTGCTGGCACGCAGCCATCCAGTCACGGCCTCGAGGCACTGATGGAAACAATCGGGTACAGAGTCCGGTCGGCCTTCCATCTTCAGCACAAGCTGAGTGTCATCAGCGTACTGGTGGCACTCAAGCCCAAAGCTGAAAGGACTGGGATAGACTGCATGCCCACTGGGGTTCATTTTGAACTCTAGGATTCTATTATTATTATTATTATTATTATTATTATTATTATTATTGATGGTGCCGTTCCTTTCTGGCAGAAAGGAGGGGGTTGGACTGGATGGCCTTTGGGGGTTCCTTCCAATTTTAGAATTCAATGATGATGATGAGTGATTGTGCTGCAGGGTGTCCTTCTGCACGTTCCTGGCGCACGAATTCCCGGACCTGGTGCACAAGGTGATCATGATCAACGGCGGGGGGCCCACGGCGCTGGAGCCCAGCCTCTGCTCCATCTTCAACATGCCCACCTGTGTCCTGCGTTGCTTCGCCCCTTGCCTGGCCTGGAGCTTCCTCAAGTGAGTGAAAGAAGGAAAGAGGGAAGGAGAGAGAAAGGGGGGTAGACCTTGACATTTGGGAGCTGTAGTTGCTGGGATATTTATAGTTTACCTACAATCAAAGAGCATTCTGAACCCCACCAATGATGGCATTGAACCAAACTTGGCACACAGAACTCCCATGACCAACAGAAAATACTGGAAGGGTTTGGTGGGCAGTGTCCTTTGGTTTTGGAGTTGTAGTTCACCTACACCCAGAGAGCACTGTGGACTCAAACAATGATGGATCTGGACCAAACTCTACACGAATACTCAATATGCCCAAATGTGAACACTGGTGGAGTTTGGGGAAAATAGAATCTTGACATTTGGGAGTTGTAGTTGCTGGGATTTATAGTTCACATACAATCACAGAGCATTCTGAACCCCACCAACGATAGAATTGGGCCAAACCTCCCACACAGAACCCCCATGTGGGCCACAGCAACGCGTGGCAGGGGACGGCTAGTTTATATATATAAAATGCTCTGTGCATAATGAGTACCTTAAAAACAAAAGAACCAATGAACGAAATCACACCAAATTTGGCAACAAAACGTCTCACAACACAAGGAATGTCCTCCACTCAAAAAATTGATTTTGTCATTTGGGAGTTGTAGTTGCTGGGATTTATAGTTCACCTACAATCAAAGAGCATTCTGAACTCCACCAACGATGGAATTGAACCAAACTTGGCACACAGAACTCCTATGACCAACAGAAAATACTGGAAGGGTTTGGTGGGCATTGACCTTGAGTTTGGGAGTTGTAGTTCACCTACATCCAGAGAGCACTGTGGACTCAAACAATGATGGATCTGGACCAAACTTGGCACAAGCACTCAATATGCCCAAATATGAACACAGATGGAGTTTGGGGGAAATAGACCTTGACATTTGGGAGTTGTAGTCACTGGGATTCACAGTTCACCTACAATCAAAGAGCATTCTGAACCCCACAAACGACAGAATCGGGGCAAACTTCCCACACAGAACCCCCATGACCAACAGAAAATACTTAAGGCCATCCAATCCAACTCCCTTCACCAGGGCAAAAAAACATAATCAAAGCCCTCCTGACAAAGAGCCATCCAGCCATAGATATAGATAGATATGATTCACACACACACACACAGATATAGTATAGATTTGAAAGGGACCCCTGAAGAAGGACAATTATATGTTGCATGTTCCAGAGTAGACAAATCAGACACTCTCCACATCAACACTGGCAAAGAAACAGCAAGAAATACTGTTTACCCACAAGCATAAAGAAATTACATATATTAGAAACCAAGACTTTCTCATTACTTTATTTTCCAGATCAACAGACTGGGCCACAGCAACGCGTGGCAGGGGACCGCTAGTCTTTAATAAAAATTATAAACAGGAAAAATCAAGAAGCCAAACTGAGCTGAGTGTGAAAAAGGCCAATGCGACTCTAAGCTGCAGCCATAGGAGTATAGTCTGGAGATGTAGGTCATATAGGATATGGATGGGTGAGACCTGGCTTGAAAACAGTCCATGGGAAAGAGATCTAGGAGTATACCCTAGTCGGGGTCGTGATGCTGCAGCGAAAGGGGCCAATGCAATTCCTGGACGAAAAAGACTTCCTCTGGAAGGTGATGCGGCGTGTTTGTCCTCTCTTGCAGGGCTGGCTTTGCCCGCCAAGGGGCCAAGGAGAAGCAGCTGCTGAAGGAGGGCAACGCCTTCAAGGTCTCTTCCTTTGTCCTGCGAGCCATGATGGGAGGCCAATACTGGCCCGAGGGGGACGAGGTCTACCACGCCGAGCTGACCGTCCCAGTGCTGCTGGTCCATGGGATGCATGACCGCTTCGTCCCCCTGGAGGAGGATCAGCGCATGGCTGAGGTACCACCCCCTTTGTCATTCATTTATTTGTCGTGTCAGGGCAACCAGTCAATTGTATTACATTTCTAACAGAACAAAACAAACAAACAAACAGACAAAACACAAAATCTGTAAGTTTTGTAATAATAATACATCATCATCATCATAATATTGGGGTATAAATTTATAATGATGAAGATGGTGTTGAGGTATACATTAATAACAACAACAATAATAATAGTGTGGTATAAATATACGAGGGGTATTTTTTAAGTAAGGTCCATTTTGTTGTAGACACTAGTAGTTCGCGCACATACCACAATGAGCGCGTGCGTCGTGTACCGGCATGCCTCGAGAACAACTGTGCTCAGTTTCCCCTCTGTAGCTAACCTGTACGGTTCTGTTCGGTTCTGTTCCGTGAAGGCGGATCTGGCCGGAGTGGTCCATGCCTTGGTCACCTCCAGATTGGACGACTGCAATGCGCTCTACGTGGGGTTGCCCTAGAAGACGGCTCGGAAGCTCCAACTGGTCCAACGATCAGCAGCCAGGATGCTAACTGGGGCCCCTTACAGAGA